GTGTGTGTGTGTGTGTGTGTGTGTGTGTGTGTGTGTGTGTGTGTGTGTGTGTGTGTGTGTGTGTGTGTGTGTGTGTGTGTGTGTGTGTGTGTGTGTGTGTGTGTGTGTGTGTGTGTGTCTGTGTCTGTATGTGTCTGTGTGTGTGTGTGTGTGTGTGTGTGTGTGTCTGTATAACGCATAGCTCATGAACCGATACACGGAAAAACACCAAATTTCAAACTTAGGCTTTGTTCCAGCGTCTAATGAGCTGATTAGATTTTGGGCAGAGTCGGAACATCTGGGGGGGTACTTTATAGGTGGTCATTTTTATATTTCATGGAATATATCAGTTATTTACGTTTGGAGAAGAAAATTCTTCAAATAAAAGTTACTTTTAATATAATTATCTATAATTTTTGTTTTATGCAAAATTTTCCTAAAATGGTCCGTATTCGAGAAATTTGACAAAATGTAAAAAAAATAATTTTTTATAAAAATTGTTCAAATAAAAGTTGTTTGTAATATAATTCTCTATAATTTTTACTCTATACATAATTTCTCTAAAATGGACCGTATTCGAGATATTTGAGAAAATGTGTAAATTTTGAATTTTGAAGAAAACTCAAAAACGGATAAAGAAAAAAACATTAAATTTTAAACTTAAGGTTTATTTCGGCCTGACGTGAAATGATTAGATTTTAGACATAGTCGGAACATCTGGGGGGGTACTTTATGGGAGGCCACTTTTATATTTTATGGAATATATCTGTTATTAATGTTTGGAGAAAAAAATTGTTCAAATAAAAGTTACTTCTAATATTATTATCTATAATTTTTGTTTTATGTAAAAATTTCCTGAAATGGTCCGTATTCGAGAAATTTGACAAAATGTGCAAAATTCTGAATTTTATGAAAGTTTTTGAAATAAAAGTTGTTTGCGATATCGATCTCTATAATTTTTGTGTATACATGATTTTTCTAAAATGGACCGTAATTGTAGGAAATTTTAATTTTTCAGTATTTTCGTTTTCCATGAATATCTATAGAAGAATGTTTCGAGGTAGATGTATGTGGACAATGTATATATTAAGTTTATCCTCTAAACATTTATAGAGATGCTGCAATAGGTTGTACAAAATAACCGGAAAAAGCCTATAATAACTAGATAGGAAAGTCATGTGTTGGACACATCAGATTTTTATTTTTATTTTTCAAACGAATGGCCAATGATTTAAAAATGTTGAGTGCAAGTTCAATGATGGGAATTCAGATATTTTTGGTCCTATATCAAATCCTCTTCCTAACGTTTTGAAGCCATTTTCTTGTTCTAAAACAATAAATAATACATAAATACCTACTTTGTGATAAAAGTTGATTACTATTTGTGTTACTTACATGAATAGATCTTAAGTTCTTTGGTTAATTAAAGAACGCCACATTGGGGTTGTTAAATTTGTTCATGTGGCATGTGTTACTAATGCAATACATGTCCGACTTATTATAATATTACAAAATATAATTTTTGTCCTCAAATTTCACATAGCCACAACTATTTGGCTTAGTTCATCCAGAGGATAACACAATCATGAACTCAAAATTTAAAATTTAAATTCAGGATTCTTCGATATACATAAAACTAACTGACATTTATATTTACAAACTGGAGTGCGTTTAGAAACCCCGCACGACGCGTCTGAGCCCTATTCTAATGCATGTGGTCAGACGCGCCGTGCGGGGTTTCTAAACGCACTCCTGTCCACCGCTGTCCACGTCTACTGTCTGTCTCAGTGTTGCCAACCGTAGGATTTAAATTGTATTTATACGATTTTTTAACTCTCTGTACGATGTACGATTGCATCAGTGAGATCGTACCACAGACCTTGACCTTGATCGTACGTACAAATATTTAAATATCTGCAACAACTTCAGAACATAATACAATAAAACTCAAAAACTATTTGCAAAGATTCATAGGCCATTCGTAATTTCTGCAGGCAGTCATTTTCGTTCTGACTTATCGTGAATTTGATCATGGTGATTTTGTACACCGACTATCACGGCATAAGAAAAGCTTGCATGCAAAATTTTAATCATTTTCAAGTGACAGTCATTAATTACTTTATATGTGTTAATTTAAAGTTTCATGTATTTTCTTTAGTTTTTTTTTTTTCGTTGTAAACATTTTTATAAATAGATACATACATTATCATGCCAAAGTTTTTTTTTTGTCATTCCATTTGTTATATTATGCTATGCATGTATCTATTGTACATTTTTTTTGTTGAAATACCATTTTTCGACGATATTTGTACGATCTCTCAAAAAAAATATTTGGCAACACTGGTCTCTCTACAAACTACGTAGACCTGTAGTTAACATCTAAGACGCTAGATGACGCCATCGTTGCTGCGGTCGTTGCGTTTCCAATCTTTATGTCCCTAATCTTTGATGTATATATAATAAAAAGTCAAACATTTTTTGCGCAATAGTCAAAAACTACGCTTGCAGCTATCACCTATGCCTAATTAAACAAAAAAAACAACTAGTGTAGCCTATTTTAAGCCTTGGTGTCTTTGAACACTCCGTCGCGGTGAGCGGACAGTCCGTCGACCGCTGCGGATAGCAATTTTCGCCCGAGGTGGTTTGTTAAAAAATATAGAAAATGATACTTTCTCTGTCTGTACGTGCTGTTTATGTATTATGAATGTAAACGAAAGGTACTAAAATGGATGCAAATAAATTGTTTGCGTTGTAATTATTGTCGGAAGAGGAAGAACAAGAGGAACTGGCAATTGCAACCGTCAAAGTTTCCAATAAGCCAGTGGATGAGTTGTTTTTGTGTCGCGATACAGAAGGTGCCTTTAATATAACTGTGCAGAGCGGAGGCTTTTTGGATATGAAATCAAATTTAGGGAATATTTTAGACTTTCTACAGATCTTTTTGAATTCGTGTTGAGTTTTATAAAGGACATAATTTCCAAGAAACCTAAAAATAAAGTCATGATGTCATCTGTATGTGTGAATTTGTCACTCATTGTTTTAAAATTAATAACAATATAGTCTCCGCACACGCCGACGAGTCCGCCGATATCAAACTCAACAGATATCAACCGACTCTTCGCGACAAATCAGCGGCATGACGCCGTCCTGCTCAGCTAAGCGGATTCAAGAAAACCATTCCCATTTAAATACTCTGGTTGGATAAAATCGTCAAAACGCGACGGTTGACGGACTGTCCGCTCACCGCGACGAAGTGTTCAAAGAAACCAAGGCTTAAGTGAATTTAATCAAGTACTTCACCACTACATTCACTGAAAATTTCAGTTTTCTAAAACCCCGGCGTCATATGTTTAAACGCACTCCTAAATATGTATATTTGTTTACGAGAAAATTATGCGTTGTGCCATATTCTGGTTATTTGGGATTTAAGGTAGTTCACTCGCGACAGTCGTACACAAAAATATCGCCCTATAGTGAATACCAACCGTTCGAGATTCTTAAATCTGAAGTAAGGTTTTTTTTGCAACAGACTGTACACACAACTTATGTGGTCCTATATAGGGACCGTGCGTGAAATATAGAGGCAGCACTACTGCCGAACTTAGCCCTCTCTAGTGTTTAATTTTATAATTAAATGGGGTAAACATTGCAAGTAAATAATGAAAGGTATTTTTTTAAATATTCAACTCAGCAGGCAGTTTTTTACACTTATGATGAATCTGTGGCGAAAGAGGGTGCAGATGATGTATGCTCTATGTTTCGGCATTTTGTATTTAATATTTTGCCTCTGGAAGTACGTGAACTGTGTATATTTTGTGACTCGTGTGCGGGCCAAAATAAGAATTATACCTTCATCAGGTTTTTACACCATCTGGTTACAAGAGAAGGACGTTTTGACACCATTAAGGTCATATTTCTGATAAGAGGCCACTCTTACTTAGAGTGTGATCGTAATATGAGCATAGTTAAACAAAACTCATACACAGGGGTTCCAGACGATTGGAGGGAGGTCTTGAGGAATATTCGAGTGAAACCCACTTCATTTACTGTGATTGAGTGTGGAGTGGATGTGACTTTTCAAAACTGGACTGATCACCTCTCGTCACTTTACCCAAAAAATACCCATTTCCCACCAGACCAATTCGAATGTTGAAATTTTCAGCAACTGGAAGAGATCTTGTGTTTTATAAACAATCTTTTTTTGGCATGTATACATCTTCAGCACTTCAAGGGAATAAAAAACCACAGAGGAAAAACACCAAGAACTCTTCCGCTCCTGTTAAGCCACTGGAAAATTTGTATAGAGGAAAACTTCCAATAAAAGCTGCAAAACATCGCGATCTCCTCCATTTATGTCAGTTCTTGGAAAGTTCAGAAGCAATAATTTTCTACCAAAATTTAACTTCAGACAAAGTTCTCAATGGAGAAAGTGATGAGGAATTCGCTGACGACCCCCCGATGAACGAGGAATTACCTGAAGAAAAGTGATTATTGTATAAAAATATGTTCATTTTATTTATTTTGTTCAAAACATAAGTTACTGATTTAATTTGATGCTATTGTGTTCTTTTTCAACCCTCCATGAAATGGAAAACATTCAGAAGTGGTTTTCTCGCAATCAGCTGTATTTGACTAACGGGGTTTTTCCCCTGTACCCTTCAATTATTATAAAACAACACTAATTTATAAAATAGACGTGTTGCTTGGAAATGGTTACGACCAAAAGCGCTTGTTCAAAAAGAATGAATAGTTGGTAAGGGAATACAGTCTTTGCCAACTACTTATTTTAATTTTTTCCACAAGTTGCTAATTTTTTCTTGTATTTTATGCGCTTATCACTTTAAATTTATTTATGTGAGATTTCTGACTTTGAGTGATTTTCATCGGAGAGCTATGGTGGTTTCTTATCCAAACAAAATATAGATTAAGTGATAGTGATTTTCCTCGTTAGTGTCTGATTCCTATATTCGCCTATCGAGATTATACCTCTGAAATTTTTTGTATCATGATAATTGGTTACTTGTCAGATTAAAATGACAATTGTTTGACATTCATCAAATAGAATATTTTCAAAATTTTCCGTAAAGTAAATTCTTGTGTTTAGACGACAAAGCTATAAGTACCTTTAACAATATTTGTCCTCCCTTTTAAGATTGAACAATAAAATTCTACAGATTTTGTAGTGCCTATATCCGTATGTCATTAGCTCCATAATGGCTAAATACTTAAAAACTTTGATGTCTGATGGTGACGAAGTAAGAGATTTGGAGGATGGAGGATCATGCGTCCTTGAAGACTTTAAATTAATAATCAACCAATACGACCGCACTGTTGTTGATTCTTTGATGCCCTTCATGGTGAACCTTTTGGACTGCATGAACGTTGGATACAAAGAAAAACTGAAATATGAGGCTAAGCTGCAGAAAACTATAAAAGATAATTTAAGTTTACAGAATAAGGAAAAACGAGCGAAGAAAGCTTTAAGTACGTATGACATTCTTAGCTTAGCAGACGAGAAATAAAACTGTGTAGTACTAAGATTTAGAAATATTTGAAGCCTTTGATGGAAATTGGTGTTAACAAAAAAAGTATTGTTTTAAGAAAAATTGATTTGATCTTTTTGTTTTTACTCATATCAACGATGTTTCATTATTCTGCTTCGTCAACTGATTATCTCAATTTCGTTTTCTCAAACTCATCAATTTGCATCCATCTGACTTCTCCAAAAGATAGTTTTTCATTTTTTCCGATTTTTTTTTTATTCATTAGCCGCAGTTTTCTTGGCAATTCTTTGAGGTCTAAAATATCAGAATCCATAAAGGTGTGTCCTGCTTCTGGAAATTTATGGTTAATATTTTTGAATACACCAGGGCCTATTAAATGGTTCTACAGGGTGGCCACTTTTTAATGGGAATGTATTAGCACAGAAGAAAGAACAATACAGAAAAGAAAGTAATGGTCGGAACTTTGAAGTAGAAGGGATAGAAATATTTGACCTTCAGTTCCACCACAGAGATACTCTGAGAAAACGTAACTATTCACAGTATACGCGAACGTAGTTATTCACTGAACATACACTGTTAAATCTACATTTCTCTTTTATAGAATTATGTGTCATATTTTATGAAAATTTGCATGAATGCATTTTAAACTATTCTCGATTTAAGTAAAATATTTTTCGATTTGTAGCACTTCCGACAGAGGTTCCAAAAATGAAAATTATAAAGTTTTAAACAATAGTTTATTTATATTATAAAAACGGTAAAAAACAGTTGAGAAACTATGTACTTAAATTACGTACATGTTTAATTAGACTTACTTGTCTAAAAAAAGATCACACACCCATGACATATTTTGTTAAAACTATTTCATAGTATTCATAACATAACAAAATCGTTTTAAGTGTTTGAAAGTTAAAATAATTAAAATTATTTACACAGATTTATAGAGCAAGCCTAATTTATAATACATAAGTAGCTTTATTAAAATAGCTACATCCTAATATACAACAAAAATATAGAATAATTATATAAACGGTGCTTTTAAAAAATATTAAATAATAAGTAATTATTTTTCTTCTTTTTTGCACCAAACAAACGTTTCCTTAACGTTGCAATCTTCAGTCGCAGTCTGCTTTCTTGGAGTGTTTGATTGTAACACAATACTCGTTTGAATTTGTGCTGTTACATAAGGTAGAGAAACAGATGGTTAACTATGCACTTGTTCATTAGATTCTACTTCTGCTGAAGTTGAGAGTAGACACAAGTTGTCTTTGCCTTCTTCGCCATGAACAACAAATTCCTCTAAAAAATAGAAAGAGAAACCAAATTTTTATCAGATCAACTAGTGTCAAGAATCATTTGTCAGAATTAAATCTTTGAGTCACACTTTTTAGCTAGATGAAATTTAAAATAATTTTATAAAATGTGAATATATTGCTGTGCCTAGGAGGTAAACTGCACTATGTCATTTTAGTAAACTTTTTATTATAACAGATTGAATGCTGTTAAATTATTAAATTTCAACTTATTGTCAAAATATTTGTATTTTTTTCTAACCTAACTAATAAAACTACTTTATTTTAATTTGCATAAGTTGTTGTATGTCGACATTGTGCAGTTTACCTTCGAGGTACTTCTATAAAATGGAATGTATGGGTTGATATTCTAAGATTATTAGTACTTATCATTTTATTTTTTAAACTACTAAATGTAATGTAAAAAAGGACAAGCAAGACGAGTAGCAAACTTTTTGTAACATTTATATGTACCTAAATATCGGAAAATATGTGAATTGATTTAATAATTATTAAATTACTTAAATATTACGCCGTAGACCCCTGAGGTGCTTCCAAATAACCTATACTTATTGGGTCTTCCGCCCCTTATAACTTAATAAAAAATATTAAATGAAAACAAACGAATTATAGCCTTTATTGTTTGCATACTCGTCAATAAGTTGCGAGTGATCTAATTTTTAACAGATATCATTTTCAATTGTAATTATACCCAAATTTGTGAGCCATTCCTCTATAATAATTTGTTATTATTTTTATTTTGGAAAATGATCCCTCTCCAGATGCAACTGTTACTGGTAAAACTAAAAATATTCTCAAACTTACAACTAAATTAGGGAGATGACAACAAATTATTACTATAAATAAATTTTAAAATATCTATTGCTTCCTTAATTTAAATACTTCCTTACAAAATATTTTACAACAAAAACAGAATGCGCTCTTTGCTTTTTTACATGAATTAACTATTTTAATTGTTTAAATAAATACGTTTTATTATTCCCGGAATGTTTGTGAATTAACCTAATTTGCCTGTCAGTCAATTGAGTGTAGATCAATTAGCCTGTCGGTATATTGGCTCGTCGGTATATTGGCCCGTCGGTATATTGGCCTGTCGGTATATTGGCCTGTCGGTATATTGGCCTGTCAGTATATTGGCCTGTCGATATATTGGCCGGTTGGTCAATTGGCCTGTCAGTATATTGGTTGTCGGTCAATTGCCTTGTCGGTCAATTAGGTGTTGGTCAATCGACCCAGACCCATTATCTATACCTTTGTGCATTTTTCGGCACTTTTTCCCAGTTTTGTATTTTACTCAAAAACGATACGTTTTCCAGACAAGTTTTATTAAACTTTTTTTGAAGAACAAACGATTTTGTATCGATTATGTTCTTATACATTTTTGCCTAATTTCATATTTTTTCCGCTAGGGCGCGGCAAAAAAAGTATATATTTTGCGGGTTCATTTTATATAAAAACCACACCCTTTGGTGGAAAATTTCATCAGAACAAAGTTGTCTATCGAACAACTTTTCCGAAAACCCATCTTTCCAGCGCTACAGCACATGCGCGGAAAGTGAGAATTGTTTTTTCAATAAATGAGCATTCAATTTTTGTCATAACTGTCCGCTGTTATATAAAGAAGAGCGGTATTGTTTAAATTTAGAGAAAGAATCTAAGAATATAAGTGAAATACCTCACTCTAATATTTTATTGAAAAACGACTCTCACTTTCCGAGCATGCACTGTAGCGGAGGAAACGAAGGGTTTCCGGAAAACCTTTTATAGGTTTTATCGGAAATTTTCCGCTCTACAACTTTTCTTTGACGAAATTTTCCACCAAAGTGCGTGATTTTTATGTAAAATGGGAAAAACTGCAAAATACATACATCTGTTTTTTTTTGCGCGCTCTAGCAGCAAAAATATGATTGGCAAAAAGTGTATAAGGACATAATCGATAGAACATCGTTTTTAAGTGGAATACAAAAAAACGGAAAAATGTATGTATATACCTTTTCTGATTAAAACCGTCATTATTATCTGGTTCTCTATGCTGTGATAAAAATTTCGCCTCAAAAACCTAATTCCGGTGGACTATTCGCTCGTCTCATAAGTTTCACACATCGTGCAGAATAGGTTACTTTCAGCACTTGTTGCACAACATTGTCTTAGGATTTTACACTGTTTTATAACTATAAAGTTATTCTATTATTAACGTTTAATTTTTTTAGAACAAGAATTACAAGAATACATTGCAAAATACGAAGCCGAACGTGAATCAAAAGTTTTAGTAGAAAGAAAATTAGCAGAATTTGAAAAGAAAAAAGACAAAGATAGTAAAACTATGATTTCTCGCGTAGAAGCTCTAGAAATTCATGTGCGATCGCTAGAAAAGAAATTTAAGCACTCTACAGATTGCATACAAAAACTGGAAGAAAGAGAAGCCTATTTGAAAAGGGAATATTCCGAACTATTAGAAAGGTACACAAAACTGTTTAGAGAACATGTAGATTACTTGGAAAAATCAAAAGGAACAAGGCGCCATCGTGAACTCGCCTTGAACGAAGAATTGGCTGATGTACATAAAGCAAGACAAGATGTAGAACCTGATAATGTCTTCACATTAGTTGATGCAAGTGGTAATGAAAATGAAACGGTGGACGGCGAAAATTATATTCAAATCGCTGCTGAAGATAACCCAAATATTCATTATGACCATCAATATTTTGAAAAACAAAGTAAACAGCCGCATAACACTCAATACATCAAGCACTATTTTGAAGAGAATTCTGAAAATAATGTTGAGTATTATGAAGGACAGACTGACAAGCTTTATGCTGAAGAATATATTGAACCCCAAAATAAACTTCAAAAAGACAATGCATTTTATCAAGAAGAAGGTGAATATTACAAAGAAGACAATCGATTTGATACACATCAGTATGTAGAACAAAACGATGAAGCTCACTCGGAATACAGAATCGAAGAAATTAATCTTATAGAGACTTTTAGTCCAACTGAATCTATTAAAAATATTAATGTTGCACCGTTAGAATAATATAGATTGTGTAATTCAGATATATATGATTAAAACATTTTATAATATTTGTTCTTAAAATAATTACCCTGAAGATACTTTAATAGTTATATAGTGTATAATATATTAACCCAGGTGCAGCAAAACTTGTACCTTAAAGAAATTTCGCCTTTATGATGATGTGCAGTGGACATTATATTATTATCTTGTTACAGAACCATGTAGTTCTAAAACGTATCTATACATATACTTACCTGTTATCATAGACCTCTCACGAATTACGCTATAGAATAGTATTCCCATTTTAGGTTATCCCATCTCAAACTTCTTCTTTCACAGTGCAGTTTAAATAACATGCATGTATCTAGATTTGAACTCCACAGAATATTGAGTCGTCAGTGAACAGCACGTTGCTCCAAGTTCCAATTAACATGGTTTCCAGCAAACAACCTTCTTGCTCTTCGATACAAATAGCTAAAGACAACTTTAGCTAGTCTTCCTGCATGAAACTGATATTGATAAAACCTCAATATCTATTACATAATGTATCGTTATGGTATTAACTGGTTACCGAGGCATCTACTGTGTTGGAGCATTGTAGCAATCCTTTTTTGTACGGTCTGAAGCCCTATTAAACGATCTTTTCTTTCAGAAGTGTATCTAACCCATCGAGGGTATAGTCCTTTTTACCGATTACGGTTTGTACGTCATCACTTAAGGATTACACAGTACACGTCAACTTTCCAATCCGCAATCCAAGTGAACGGTGTAGAAACACAATGCTATTGAATATACAGAAATTGAATATTAAGTCACCGACTGCGGACCGGAATATTTCATCACTGACTACGAAAGGGCGTGGCTAAACCAATTACTCTTTATATGCTTCTCACGTCCAAATACAACTCATCTTTATTTTGCTTGATGCGTCGGTTAACGTACTGTATACTATTATAACAGAGAAGATTAGTTCAATTTACCATGCATGATTGTTGACGTCACCGTAGACCTTAAATAACATATTTTGGTTCTTTTGTTTGTATTGAAGCAGTGTCCACCAGTGTTTATTATACCACACCAGATAATCAGTTATTCTGTGGTGTAATATAAACCAACGAAGGCGTTTGTGATAATCGGTGTAAAAATTAGGTAATTTGTCATTTTATTTATCAATGAAGTGCTGCAAATTATCTGCATTTAAAATTTTATAGTTTTGTTTAATTTCGTTTAATTATAGGACTAACAAAAGGCACAGAAATCAAAGAAGACCTAAAAGATGCTTATGAATAAAAGCAAGAGAAATTTACCGCATGACGACAAAAAATCGGCCTCTCTATCTAGTGATTACCGATCCGGCGATAACCATAGATTATAAATGCTAGAGTCATACTACATACAAGAATCACATGGGAATTAAGGAGATCGGTGAAGTTATTAAGTCAATGTCATAACTGTCAGTCATGGGGACTAATTGTGGAAGACAGCCTAAATGTTTAAAATGTGCCGGTGTACACCACACAAGGTCTGCACAAAATCCAGAGACCTTCCGGCTAAATGCGCCAATTGCGGTGGTGATCACCCAGCCAACTACTCTAAATATGTCCAATACCTACGTACAAAGGCTTGAAAGACTGGAAGAAAAGATATCTAAACAAGAACCTAAAAGATTCGCACGAACATCACCCCCAAGGTTAAATGCGTGGGACAGAATGAAGAATTCCCGGAGTTGCCAAGCAGAAGCCTGTTTCCAGGCCAATTCAGCCTCCCAGACCCATTAGACCAGGGGTCGGCCAACCGCGGCTCGCGAGCCGCATGCGGCTCTTTGGCACCTTGAGTGTGGCTCTTCCCCAAACTACAACGTGCGGACTCGCACATATAGTACTCGAAATGGCTGCTTTTCTTATTTCTATTTTTTCATACTTAGTTGGTGTTTATGTGTTTTTATCTTTAGGCGAGTACTATAAAGCGACTTTTATTAAAAAGTTCCAGAAAGTAAAAATATTAACGTGTATCGTTAATCCTGAGCGCGTATCCTCGTAGGAATGACTAGAATTGTAGTAAAAATCTGCTTCCCTGCACTGGCATTTTAAGGGACTACATTATTGTCCCTTTTTCATTAATGATAAACTTAATGGTCAAAAATATTAAGATTTAATTTAAAATCAAGTAATTATTTTTCACTTGCAGATATTTCCCAATTTTAGAATCGGACAATTACGTAAATTTTGCATTTAATTAATTTGAAAGAACGATACCCCACAATAGTTCATGCCAGTGGCGGCTCGTAGCCAAAAAATTGGGGGTTCACAATGAAAGAATGTAGGTCTCAGTACAGATTTAGGTAAAAAGCTTTCAGTGTTTTGGAAAGATGTATTATAAAAACTGAAAGCTCACGAGCCGCCACTGGTTCATGCATTACTATCGGAACTTTCTATTAGCTAGCACGCCGCAGGTCATACGAAAGGTGGTAGTCGTTGTACACAAAATATAGATATGGATGTTCACTCACACTGCCTATAGCTTATGGCTCGTATAATTTTTTCCTAATCTGTATAAAGAAGACAAACAATAAGAGATAGACGAAACAAGTTTACAAGACAAGAAAGTTAGGAAAGGTCGACATCAGCAAACGTTTACTTCAATCAGATTGAGGACGTTTTTAGCAGAGGCCAGCTTAGCAGTACTCTAATTAAGTCAACAACAATGTACACCTATATACTTTGAGTTTAGAAAATTTGGCTTTCAATAGAAATTTCAGGCGTTCTACTGTTGCTATTTGGCTGTGTTGACTAATGAATTTGCCGACCACTGCACTAGACCTTCCCAAGGTGAAATAGATGATTTCCAGGCACATAATAATGAGCTTGACTCCTTATACAGGCAAGTTAATTTACCGGAACTCGCGAGAGCAGTGAGAGATCTGAATAGACAAATTACTGCTTGTCTCACTTATACAGATTTCCAAAAGCATTCGTTTAATAATTGTTCGACGTTATTTCGATTTTTTTAATTTTTTTCGTTGTACACTTCGGAATCGTATGCAAGTCGCTAAATCGTGATAATTTATCAAGAATTTTACGAAAACAAAAAACATCCAGTAATGCTCTGATCCTTTGGATCCCTCTGTCTTGTTTGGGCCTATTTACGACCCCACTTATCTTTAAAACCAGGAATATTTGATAAGAGGGGGTAAACCCCCTTTACCGGTATAAATCATTCATTGGGGAATGTGTGACGAAGTCACTAAACTTTACTCTCAATTAATTTAAAAAAATGTTTATTTCAATTAATTCCCGCCTGAGGACATGTAGAAGATCCCCCGTATTTCTGTTTCCCAGGAATTACCGTTTTCAACAATTGCGAGTACTCTCGTAGATTAAAATATTCCTATATTTGCCGAAATCCGAATGGGCATTTTGTAGAGTCGATTTCGTACCAATGGGGCATGTTCAAAAATTTTGAAATTTGTTTTTATGAATAGTAGAGTTAAAAATAAAACTACATTTTTTTTATTTTTTTTTATCTATTCATTTGCCGGAGTTATGAATTTTTTAAAAATTTATGACGTCACCGGGAATAGACCAATAGGAGCTAGCGCACAACGTTGCCGGCTAGAAGGTTCACGAGAAGTGATGTACGTTCGTTTGTGTACTCCTTCTTACTTTTAGACTTCTAAAACATCGTTAAACAAATATCTTTTAAATATATAATATCAAATGTTTTTTGAAAGTATTATTTCTGTTTAAACTTTTACCATATTTAAAGTTTCATTGTTTTAAAAGACACTTAATAATTCAGAAAATGGCAAAATGGCAGCACTGTGTATGGCATCTGTCATCATAGTGTCTCGATCAAGAATTTATTTGGAATTTGAGTGTTTAATTTTGTACTTTTTATAAATATTATGACTACGAAAAAGTGTTTTGTTCCAGAATGTGATAATGATTCACATTCATCTTCAAAAATATTTATTAGTGTTCCTAGAAATTTGGAAAGAAGAAAATCAACCTTCTACTAGCGATGTTTCTCGTGAACTTTTTAATAAAAATACACCGGATTATCAAGATGTAGCAGCAATTTCTGCTAATTGTCCCCTTCAGGAAATTGAAAATGAGGCTACTATAAATTCTTAGGTGTATAACCTAAAAACCCTTCTGGAAGAAAATGCAGAATCTCCTGAAAGTTTTGAAGATACCGAATTTATTCATCATTTTGTGGAAGAACTAGTGATAAAGAAATAATAGAAAAATGTGGGTATTTAAACAAACTGGTTCCTGGATCCCATATAATGGCAGATAGGGGTTTCAGAATATTCAGCTACTTGAAAACATGGGATGCACTTTAGTAAAGCCACACCTAGTGTATCACAGAATGAAAAAAGTTCTCCAGAAGATGTACAATTAAGAAAAAGAATAGCATCTCTAAGAATACATGTGGAAAGAGTTATAAGAAGGGTTAGTTAATTTAACATGTTAAAACCACATTCGTGTGTGAATTTTAAGCAAGTACATTTACTTAGTAATATCTGCATAATTGCTTGTTAACTTACAAGAACCTATTTTGTAAGAGTAAATATTAATTTAATAAATTTTGTTTGTTTGTTTTTTTAATTTAATTTACCTAATTATCACATTTCAGGGATTATAATGAGTTTTTAAACAGCCAATGTAATTTTTTATAAAATTTTAACTTTTCGAACAAATCAAAGATGAATGAGTACCTGTATATGCATAGATTTTTTTGGGACTAAAACTACCAAAACAAAGGCACCAATTTACAACAGTTTAAAATGAAACATTTTGACAAAAACGCCTATGTCACAGTGATAAATATTAAAAACAACCAAGTTCAGTTGAATGTGGTAGCAAAGTCTATATATTCCAATAAATCGGGTAACTACATGTGGTATCACTGCTGATAAATTTAAAAATATCACAATTCTTGCCACCTTTTTCAAAAAACCAGAAAGTGCCTTCTTATCAATCCATTATGAAAATGACAACAGTGATAAATGTGAAAAAAAAAAATTTAATGTTGCTATTCGTTATTACGATAGTAAAACATGTTT